GACGCTCGATTGGCAAGAGCCATATTCGTCCTGTGCAACTGAACTGAACTGAACTGACCTCACCTGTCCTGAAAACCACCGGTCATATTGAGCTGCCTGCCTACTTTCAAGGTCGTTTGCTGCTTCATAATTACACGTGCGACATTGTGAACGTCTTCGATGCTTGCGATGGCTGTACCAAATGAGGAAGCACCAGGGCCAGGTAATTGGATTATTTAGGTTTGATCTTTTTTTCAAGGGGAGGATATTGATCGACTAGCTTTACGTATAAGTCTGGCAGATATAGATGACCAGTTTGAAAAGGTTGTGCAGAAATCGTTGGTCTTCATTTTAAAGTATTTGGCCAAGTATGAAGACCACCGGAAAAAGGTAATTCTCCCCAAAGTCAATTATTTTTGTCGCAGCTTATGGAGTTGTTGGGTGATGTCACAAGACGTTTGAAATGTAGACCGAATATTCAAGTTCCCGTTCACGAATTGTTCTTGACCTATAATGATCCATCGCGTCAAGTCTTCCTTGTGAATTTCTCACATCTCTACATTGTCATTGGCTACCCGCGGCTTCCATTTTCGCAGCAAGTGAAGCTCCTACCTGTCCTGTACGGTTCTTTGACCGATGACAAATCAATTTGTCAGCGTGACGCGTAATGTCCCACCTAGTTTATTAACTTCCTTCTGCAGGTTTCTGCATCTTACACTGCCTTTCATCGGAAACATTACTACCGACGTAGTTCCTCGAGATTTGGGATTGTCCGAACTTCCACTTCAAAGGAACTTCATCATGGACTTTTACTCACTTGTCTTATTAGCACCGTATAGGTAATTGTTCATTTCTACTTAATTTCTGAAGTGTTCAACGCCTCAATCGTTTTGACGGAGCCGATATAGTAATTCCCGACGGATTCAACTCATATGATCTTACTCGCGTAGCACATGAGAGGTATTCAACAATTAATTCTGCTGAGGATTTAGAAAAGGTTAGTTTTCAGTTTTTCGCCGAAAAAATGTAAGAAAGGAACTTCATAAACTATCATATTTTGATTCGTACACGAATTTATCGGTTAAATTTGATGTATTTTAATGGAACGTACTAAACTATTTTTGATGCCTTCATTGTGAGAGAACTCATTTTCTTGTTATCGTCCAGTATAAGGCGTAACCTAGTATTTCTACAGTAGATTTTAGTCGTGATAAAAATGTAGTATTTCCAAGAAATCTGGAATATTTCACTTTGGTGTCGTTTGCGCACCTAACTTTTTTCTTTATTTTTAGTATAAAGTCGGTCTCATCCAGTTCTACTCAAGACATTTTTTCTCAGCCGAAGAAAGCATCATTCCGATATTGTTTGGATATGGTGATACGAGACATTCTGTGGTTTCTGCTGCTGCCAAAGAACTAAGAACACTTAGCATGTGAGTTGTGTATATAATTACGTCCCATACNGTCCCATACTCGCTGTTTATCCGATGGTTTATGTTGCAACGGTTCCCTTGAAGTTTTCATGATTTCTATTTAAAAAACGGGTGGATGCGTAAACATACTGTTAACCGACAAAACGAAACTGTCCTTTCAGGTTTCTTGAAGTGTACGGAGGTATCCGAGAACCATAAGAGCGATTAAAGTTTTTTAAATAAGTACGACTTAAAAATGGACTGTTGTTTGGAAATGAAATGTGATAACCGTAACAGTTCAAATGTTATTTGGTCATTCGTTCATGCTTATAGACAATTTTTTCCTGAATTGACGAACATCCTTGGGACTGTAGTGCGAGTTGTATCCCACATACTACCGGGCCTTTTGCTTTGACGATGCACCTGTAGCCCCTGTACAACCAACCCGTCACCTCTAGTGTAATACGGTGACCTTTGTTTTGGGGCTAGATTCGCTTATGGTGCATCAAGTGGACATTCATGGCCCTATCAGCGACACCGCTTGGCAAGCAAAATTCGCCTCCTCTAGCATCACCGCAGGTCGTCTGCGACCGTTCATTCATTAGAGCGATTACCACCTGTTCTCGGTTAACCACCCAAGTGCCGTTTCTCGCATCCGCCATCTAGGGGCGCTGTCGGTACCATACCATGTGTAAGACTGCCGTTCGCATTGGTCTACCTGCTTAAACTACGACCACGCACTGGTATGTGCCAAGTTGTCTACGCGATTTGGCGGCCGTAAAAAGGTGAAATACAAATAACGACGTTTCCAAGCTTTCTGACCCGGCTGTGCTAGCTGATTACCAAAACGAGTTGGCCGCAAGGCAATGTAATACCACATCAAGAAGCGTTGGATAATGACACTCTGGGGGTAGTCGAAAGCTTTATCTACCTCGGGAGTTGCATAACGTTGGCGAAGGCGTTGGCAAGTAGCTCTCTCAAGGCGTGGTCAAAGCTAGATTAGCGCTCGCTAATCTGCGGTATTTTGGGCATCGGCGCGACATATCCCTTTCACTGAAATGGTGTGTCGCGTAACGATACGCACCATGTTGCTCCATGGCTGCGAAACTTAACCTCTCCTAGCAGATGGCGTTCAACGACCATCCGTATTTGAAAACTGTTGTCTACGTAACATTTCCCGCGTATGGTGGGAGCATCGCGTGAATAACAATGAGGTCAAGCGTGTGCTAGGATAGAATAATCTTCCGTTGAGCAGAATAATTTCACGGCCTCGTCTTATATATATATATATATATATTTCAAGAGAGAATGCAGTTGTAAAATGAGTTGTAAAATGTTTCTTGTAACGTTTCGATCCAAGTTAGGACTCG